CCACGAGCTGGGCGTCTTCCCCTGCCGCCGCTGCCCCAAGGAGTTCTCCAACCCCATGGCCCTCAAGAACCACCTGCGCCTCCACACCGACGGGCCCAGCCGGCGCCGCCACCCCTGCCCAGACTGCGGCCGCGTCTTCCGCGCCGCCACCCAGCTGACCGCCCACTGCCGCGCCGTCCACCCCGGGCACGAGGGCTCAGGGGACCCGCGTGGTGGTGACGAGACAAACCAAGCGGGCTGCCAGCCCGCCCAAGACGGCTGCCGTGCAGGCCGAGACCCTTTCCAGAAAGGCCAAGATGGCTGCCGGCCAGGCCCCGGTGGCTGCCAGCAAATCCAAGATGGCGGGCAGCTAACGCGCGAGGGCTTTGGTCGCCTGCAAAATGGCGGCCGGCGAGGCCAAGATGGCTGCCCACCAATCCATGATGGCGGCTTGCGTGACCAAGATGGCTGTCCGCCCAGCCCAGACGGGTTCCCATCAAGCCTAGATGGCTGCCAGGGGGGCCAAGATGGCCACCAAGTGGGCCCGGCTGCCGCTGCTGCTGCCGCCGCATTCTTCCCTCCCCTCCCCGGTGGCGCTGGGACCCTCCTGAGCAACCTGGAGCAGTACCTGGCCGAGTCGGTGGTGCCAGCCGACTTCTCCCAGCTGGGCCCCGCCCCCAAGATGGCGGCGGGAGCAGAGCCAGTGGAGCGCCGTTACCGCTGCGACCAGTGCGGCAAGGCCTACAAGCACGCCGGCAGCCTGACCAATCACCGCCAGAGCCACACGCTGGGTGTCTACCCCTGTGCCGTCTGCTTCAAGGAGTTTGCCAACCTCATGGCTGTCAAGAACCATGCCCGCCTCCACGCTGGGCACCGCCCCCACAGCTTCCCATTGGCTATTGAGCCCCCTCGGGAGAGGCCGCAGCGAGCTGCCTCATTGCCCTCGCGCTGCCCACCCTCAGATGAATGTGTCAAAGCCGAGAAACATCCAGAAGTGGCAGGGGAAACTGAGGCACGGCCCTACTGCTGCGGCGACTGTGGGCGCACGTACCGGCACGCCGGCAGCCTAGTGAACCACCGTCAGAGCCACCAGACGGGCATCTATGCCTGCGGCGTGTGTGCCAAGCGCCTCTACAACATGGCGGCCCTCAAGAACCACCTCCGCGTCCACTTGAAGGGCGAGGCGGGCAGCGAGGCAGACAGTGACCCTGCGGCAACCTCACCACGGCCCTATCGGTGTGGGGAGTGCGGGCGCACCTACCGGCACCGCGGCAGCCTGGTGAACCACCGCCACACCCACCGCACGGGCGTATACCGCTGCTCGCTGTGCCCCAAGGAGTACTCCAACCTCATGGCACTGCGCACACACGTCCGCGTGCATGGGCGCCGTCGTGGCGAGGGTGAGGAGGAGCGGGAAGAGAAGACCTGGCGGTGCCCGCCTGGCACCAGTGCCACGCAGCCCCACATCTGCGGGGCCTGTGGGGACACATTCGGGAGCCTGGGGGAGCTGCGGAGCCATGCACGGAGCCACGGCGGGCCGGAGGGGCGGGCCTTTGCGTGCGAGGTGTGCGGGCGGCGCTACCGCCATGCGGCCAGCCTTGTCAACCATCGCCGGTGCCACCAGACAGGTGACTTCGCCTGCCCACTCTGTGCCAAGGCCTTGGCTAACATGGCTGCCCTCAAGAGCCACCTGCGGGGGCACCAGCGGAGGAGCCGCCGGGCGGCACCAGGGACAGATGGCATGGTCAATGAGGTCACCGTGCAGGATGTCTCTGGCAACGAGGCCACGCCGGGTGACATCTCGGAGGTCACCTTGGAGGATGTCTCCACTGATGAGGCCGCGCCAGGCGACGTCTCTGTCGATGAGGTCACCTTGGAGGATGTCTCTGCCGACGAGGCTGCGCCGGGCAACGTCTCGGTGGACAAGGTTACGCTGGGGGAGGACATCTCTGCTGATGAGGTCACACCGGGAGACGTCTCTGTCGATGAGGTACCACTGGGGGAAGACGTGTCTGCCAGTGAGGTCGCACCAGGAGACACCCCCAGTGAGGTCACACAGGGCGGCATCCCGTTGGGCGACGTCTCGGTTGACCGGGTCCCGCTGGGGGACATCTCCATTGATGACATCACGTCAGGAAACATATCCGATGCCCGTTTTAGCAACGCAGTCAACGGATGGCCATGCCCCAAGGAGGAGGATGTCGAGGATGACGATGAAGGGGGCAGGGCTTCGTCCCCAACCGAGCACCCGCCCCTGGCACCGGGCATCTACCAATGCTCTTTGTGCCCCAAGGAGTTCCCGAACCTGCCAGCACTTCGGTGCCACTTCGGCGCCCACGGGCGGGCACGGCCAGCAACCGAGCGGCCCTACCTGTGCAGCCTCTGTGGCCTCATATTCCCCGGCGAGGATGACCTCCGCACCCACCACGGCCTGGCCCACGAGGCGCCAGCGCCGGCTTCACCTGCCTACCCAGAGCCGGACGGGCGTGGGGAGGACGAGTCACCGCTGCTCTCGCACATCTGCGGCTACTGCGGGCAGACATTCGACGACATGGGCAGCCTGGAGGAGCATAGCGCCGGGCACCGTGAGGAGAAGGAGGCGGCCCTTGCTGACACATCGCGGGCCCTGCCGCCGGTGCCGCCGGGCGTGGAACCGCGCCCGTATTCCTGCGGGCAGTGCGGGAAGACCTACCGGCACGGCGGCAGCCTGGTGAACCACCGCAAGACCCACCAGGTGGGCCACTTCCCCTGCGGTGTCTGTACCCGCCACTACCCCAACCTCTCGGCCTACCGCAACCATCTCCGCAACCACCCCCGCTGCAAGGCAGGGCAGCCCTCACCAGTGCCCCTCCGGCCCGGCAAAGCCGGGCAGACATCCGCTGGCCACCGCCGGCCATCCCAGGAGGACAGGAGGACGCCAGAGGTACCCACTGGGCCCCTTAATTGGCACAATGAAGCCAAGACAAAGCTAGAGGCACCTGATCAGCCCCCTGGTAGTGACCATCAGCCACTGCAAGAGGACGCCAAGAGGCCACTGGACGGGCATCCTAGTGGCAACTGCTGGCCACGGCAAGAGGGAGAAGAGAAACTGGATGCCTGCGATGGGCCCCCGGGTGGCCACCACTGGCCACTGCAAGAGGAAGCCAAGAGGCCACCAGAGACACAAGACGGGCCCCCTACTGGCACCCATTGGCCACTGCAAGAGGAAGCCAAGCGGGCACATGATGGGCCCCCTAGTGACACCTGTTGGCCACCGCAAGAGGAAGTCAAGAGCGAGATGGGGGACGGGTCCCCCGCCAGTTGCCCCCAGGTAGAGGAGGGTGGGGCAGAGCGGCCCTTCCGCTGCGAGCTGTGCGGGCGCAGCTACCGCCACGCCGGCAGCCTCATCAACCACCGGCAGACGCACAAGACGGGCCTGTTCCGGTGCGGCGTTTGCCACAAGGCCTTCTACAACCTCATGGCGCTCAAGAACCACCACCGCATCCACTTTGAGGCCCGGCGCCACCGGTGCCAGCACTGCCCCAAGGCCTTCCGCCTCCGCAAGCAGCTCCTCAGCCACCAGCGTGGGCACCGCCAGCCGACGCCCACCCGGGGGGCACCCCCCGGCGGGCCCCCGGGGGCCCCCGGCGCCTCCCACCGGACCCTGAGGCACGACCCTACGGGTGCGAGGAGTGTGGGCGGACCTACCGGCATGCCGGCAGCCTGCTCAACCACCGCCGGAGCCACGCCACAGGGCACTATGCCTGTGGGGCCTGCCCGCGCACCTATGCCAACCTCCTGGCCCTCAAGAACCACGAGAGGGTCCACAGCCGGGCCTTCAAGGGGCGGCGGCATCCGCCGGCCCATGCCCGGCGTAGGCCACGGGCAGGCAGCGGCCATCTTGGGGGTTCTTTGGATGGCCTCGTTGGGGGTGACCATCTCGGAAGCCCTCCGGGCAACCATGTGGCCTTGGACGAGGGTGGCGGCCATTTTGGACAGCCTGTAGGCAACCCCAGGGGCAGCAGCGGCCACCTCGGAAGTCCCCCGGGCAACAACGAGGACTGCATTGATGGCAGCCATCTTGGCAACCACATCGGAAGGCCTTCGGACAATCATGTGGGTGGCAACCATCTTGCAAGCCCCTCAGCAAACCACATGGGGGGGCCCTCAGAGGACTGTGTGGCCGGTGGGCTTTTTGGGACTCCCTCTGGCCACCATGTCAGTGGGTCCTCAGCCGGCCAAATGGGTGGCCATCTTGGGACTCCTTCCAGCGCCCGGAGCGGCCAGTCGCCAGGCAACCACGTTGGTGGCGGCCCTCTTGGAACTCCCTTCAGGTCCTCAGAGAGTCATATGGGTGGCATTGGCCATCTTGGAACACCTCCAGACAACCCGATCAGCAGCACCCATCTTGGAAACTCGCCCGGCGGCCATCTTGAGGCCCCAACACCCGTCCCCGGTGCCTTCCAGTGCCCCGTCTGCCCCAAGTGCTTCCCCACGCGGGCGTCCCTGAAGAACCACGGGCGGGTCCACACCAAGAAGCGGTTCGAGTGCTCGCAGTGCGGCAAGGCCTACCGGGCCTCCCGGGACTTGGTCCAGCACCTGTGGCGCCACCAGGCTGAGGCCGAAGCCGCCACCGCCGCCTCCTCGTCGTCCTCCTCCTCCTCCTCGTCCCACAACGGGCCAGGCCCCGACCGCAGGCCCTACCAGTGCGACCGCTGCGAGAGGACCTACCGCCACGCCGGCAGCCTCCTGCACCACAAGAAGGTGCACACCACGGGGCGCTACCCCTGCCCGACCTGCCCCAAGGAGTTCCGGAACCTTCTCTCCCTCACCTACCACCTCCGCACCCACACGGACCAGAAGCGGCACCGGTGCCCGCGGTGCGGCGCGGCCTTCCGGACTGCTGGGCGCCTGGCTGCCCACTCCAAGACGCACGCTTCCGACAGTGGGAGCTGATGCCCTCCGGCAGCCATTTTGTGTCACGAGGGGGGATGGGTGGGGGGGAGGGTCTTCACCCATTTCCAACCTACCCCACCTGGTTCCCTCAAGGGGGGACTTCGATTTCCTCAGGTCCCGCTAACGAACGTCTTAACGAGCCCCCCCCCGACCTCGCAGAGTTATGGACTCTACTGGAAGAGC